TCTTTTAGCTGCTGTTATTCATATTAATCTATGCACTCAGAAATTGCTCACAGTTAGGCGATTTGAAATGTTTTTGAAACAAAATGATGAGAGTAGAATTTTTTCGAGTTTTGAAAGGACCATATGGAAAGTGTTAATTGAGTTCGTCTGTGCGCTTGGTGCACTTACAATTAGATGCAGCAATGCTTGAACGGAACAGAAAAATTTACTACAATGAAGTTGTTCACGTCATTTGATATCATAGCACGTTATATCACTTTCAAGGAAACAACAAAATAGTATTTTTGAGAGCAGTGAAATGTTGATTGAATGTTTACGTTGGTATCGTCTGATTCATCATGATTTATTGGAATACTTGAATACAAATTTTGTCATACTATTCATGCGATTTCAATTGCTTCTTCTTTTTTTCATGTAAATGTTTTGTATTGATGTGATGATTAGATAAACTTGACGTATATGAATCCGTGGATGCTTTGGAAGCGATTTAATCCGTACGAGTTAACAGTATCGTTTGCGCAAAAGCGTGTTAAATTGATGATGACCAGTGTTCAGATGAGTCAGAATTGCCTTTCACCAGCATCTCGAATTCGTATTGCTGCTGACGTTCATCATCGACACAGTATTAGTGACGATGACAGTGGATGTATTCTCGAAGAATATTCATGGGTACCCAGTGGTATTAAGCCGGATATGGTCAGTCTTCAGTTCTTTCAAAATTCTTCCTATATTGCATGATGTTTACTTTGCATATTGTTCGTATTAGCCAGGTATTTTGGAGGATTTTCTGATTGTGAATCTCTCATCTGGATATTAGTTCATGGATTGTCTGAAGTTTCAGGATAAGTGAGATTACTAAAAGATTAGTAAAATCCGTTGTGTTGTATCATTTAAGGTGAAATGTAGTATGGTGTTTTAAGATTGCCATGTAAACAATGTCCAATATATTATTTTGTCATCGTGCCATTTATTTTAGGTGCACATGTACTTTGCGTGTCTTCCGGAGGACAAAATTCCGTACGTGAACTCAGTTGGTGAGAAATGGCGAATTAAACAGCTGCAATATCAACTTCCGGCTCAGGACTCTGACCGACAATACTGCGCAAAATTGAGCGAGCAAGAGCAGTTGGAATTGGTGCAGTTTGAGAGCGATCGCAAGCGACAATCGCTTGGTCGAGGCATCATCAAGCAACTACCTTACGACAGTAAACGAAGACATTGTCATCAGGTTAACTCTTCGTTTGTTACGACCTTATCGTTTGGTTTTTGTCCATTAATCGAGAGTTTTGAACTTTTATGAGCACATTTATGACTGCATTACAATAATCTGTGGAAGTGACTGTCGGTCGTTACCTCTGAAATCGAATTGAGTGATCTAAAGCAATAATCACCACCCTATAGCAATAACCATAGACATATCCATCGTACTCGAACTTCATCTTGCTCGCCTCCCTTTTCTTTGAACATAATTCCAGTCGGTAAGATTACTTACTTAACAGCAATCGCTCCTATTCGAATTCAGACATTTATGGATGAAATATCACCAGATGATAATCGTCAATAATATTGTTGTGACAGATATTTATATGGAAATGTTTGTGTTTTTTAAACGAGCGATTCATAAGAAATG